CAGTGATTTTTTTTTTTTTGCAACTGTTTTTCTTTTTTTCCCCTTTTAAGTTCCCTTGAAATTATTAATGGTTGGTGTGTATAATAAAATCTTTTGTAAGTTTTTTTAAGTGTAAAATTTCTTAGAACAATAATTTAAGGTGCACCGTTTTTCTGCCATTTTAGTGAAATAAACTCAAGCAGACAGTGACAGTGTTTGTGCAATTTGGGTAATGATGAGCAAAATGAAAGGTGTTGGTCATTTTTATTCAAACATTATAGTTTTTCCACGTTTTTTGGTTTTAATCAGGTTGGAAGTTGTGTTCAACCAATCTTTTGACTAAACCAACCTAATTTACCCAATCTATATTTTTACTCGGGCAAAACAATGCAAATTAATCTCACCAGCCAAAATAATTAAGTGTAATCGAAATTTTCAAAAGTCAAAGACAGGACTTGAACCATCAACCTCTAGAGTGGTTAGCCTGACTCTTACAGCTGACGCCACCTATGTAGCTAATTCCACCCAGGAGAAAATACTTCTCAACACTGACGTGTTAACGCAGGCTTTGTCCGGTGGTTTGCTCAAATTATGATAATTACATTGTTTATTCCAACCAAATTAGCAACTAGATTGGTTGGAAAAACAACCAATCTATTATTAGAATCTATCCAAACTTTATCCAGCTGAGAGCAGCTCTCCTCCAAACTCCCACATCTTGACTGAACACTGAGGCTGTTTAGATGCCTTTCAAAATTCTTGCGCATTCTGAACCGCTTCCCGAAGCGGTCACGTGGTATCACGGTAGCGAGGCCTCGGACGTCATCAATTTTGGCCCCCCATCTAAATGAATCACGCCTCGACACGCGCTTCGGGGAAACGCCCCCTCCATTACTCGACACACGCCTCGAAGCCTCGGCTCATCTCATAACATCACTATCTAAAACCATTCCTCTATTGTACACTTCTTTAGCCTGTCTGTCTGCTATATTAACCATTTATGATGTGTTGAACTAGATCTGCTATTTTCACAGCTTTTTTGAGACACTTTTTATAAAGTAGGGCAATAAATCATAAAAAAAGTTTATTTGAATTCTATAAATCAAAATTTTCTGCCCAACAGCAATGATGAACTGCACGGCAGCATTCTATATCCAGCTATTGTAGTATCTAGGCTAGAGATGCCAGTCTGGTAGAGAATCTGGTTGTTATTCGAAATTGCAACAGTGACATTTATTTGCAACATAAAACTAACTAAAACTAGACTTAAACCTTTTTAAGTTTTAGTCGACCAAAACTGACTAAAAGCATCACTTATAGTTATGACTAAACTGTGACTAAAACTAATAACAGTTCAGACTAAGACTAAATTTAAGATGGCCGTCAAAAACAACACTGGTCAAAGATTTATTTAAAAGATGTCAGATTTGTGTTTATCGCTTTAGTTTTTCTACGAAAAATCAACTTTAAACTACCTCCATGGGCGTGTATCCCTTTAGACATGTACAAAGAAACAATTAAGGTCAGACTGCCATACCCTTCAAAAAAACACCAAAAAGTAAATAAATATTTATCTCAATGGGGTTACACAAGTCAAAAAGGTTGGGAAATACTGATCTAGCAGAAAGATCCTGCAGAATGATTTCGATGTGACTTTTGAGACAAAGTTTTTCTGGAACTGAGCAAATGAGGTTTAAATTGCCCAAAAATACATTTTGGCCAAAAAAAGAAAACAATACATAAAAAGTGATGTTAAGGTGCATTCAAACCAAAGAACAGACACGTATCTGCAGTAACTCCTCAAGCACTGAGGGGAGTTCATTATTGTGCATTTCAGATGCACAATGGCTTCAGGGAGGACTGTGCCATCAAATAGAAGGAGCTTGAGTTCTGTGAAGCTGACATCCCACCAATGTAAAAAAAGTGTCAAATAGACTGAAAGGTTAGAGCTTCGTTATTGCAGGATTATGCAGTTAAAATTATCATTTGTGCTACTATTGTTTCAGACAGATCCCATTTGGATTTGTCGTTACCACTGGCAACCCCATAGCATTTCCTGTCAAAATCTCACCATCGCACATCAGAATAAAAGCACAGGTGAAACGTAACATTACAGATTGCTACTAAATTATTCCCGAAGCACAACTATTGAATCGGATAAGGAAGACCATGGATTGTTGGAAAAACCCCGGAAACAGTGAAAAAGTAGTCCACTTTGGGTCATCCAAAGCTGTGCCTGGATGACAGTTAGATTAATGTGTCTTCCATGTATCTAGGCAGAGAGCACCGGAATGGCAGCAGCTGGCGGGGGCCTGTGCTGGAGGTAAGTGAGGATTGGCTTTTTAAAAGCCACCTGAAAACCTCTTCAAAACATTCCTTATTTCTTCCTTTAACATTATTTCCTCTCTATTCCATTTTAACTGAAAAAAGCTTTGCTTTGGCTGCACTTCTTCATCTGTAATATCTGAACTTCTCTGTAATATCGCAAGATATTACAGAGAAGTTCACATTTTTAACATCAACTTGACAACACCACAGTTCTGTTACGCTGACTGCCCTCACTGCAGTTTCCATAGGGACATTATGTAAATCTACCGCTCTTGCTACGAAAACCTCATTTGCTGTGAATGTACCTTTACTCTTGCCAAAAAAGGAAATAAACAAACTAAAACACAATGGCAACAACATCTCAGTGACATCTGTAGCCAGTCTGGTTGAAAAGTTATGCATGTTTTTGAAAAAAAAAATAAAAAAATTAACAGGCAGACCCCTACTGTTTTAAAGCAATGCAAATAAGTTTAAAATGAGTAAATTCAGCGTGTTTTTGGCTTTCATCTGCTATGCATCTTTTGCAGTTGAGCTGTGTGTTGTGGAATCCAGGCCGGCATAAACAGAAACTTGATAAAAAGTTGCATTTTGTCTATCCGTGTGCTTTTCTTCATGGTTTTAGAGCTATGGTCAACAAATTTCGTTGAATTCTGTTCAGTGACAATAAATGCTATCTATCTATGGTCATAATGAGTCTGTGCCAGTCTCAGAGTTAGTCCGCTATGAGTGCGTGTTACTGTGGCTAATGAGGGAAAAACCCTCATAAAGGAAGTCGTGAGCTTAGGACGTAACTATATTCACACTTTAGGTCTTAATCCTCATCTCAGAGTTTTCTTTTGCATCCAATGTCTTTGTGGGACAAAATTACAACCAGCTCCATCAATGTTTCCGTCATTGTTTGTATTTGATCTTTCTAATGCCTCCATCCTGTGGAGCAGTATGTGTTTTTACAAATTTGATAAGATGTCTGAACAATGGATACATAATATATATATGAATATATTCCTTCTCAAACTATTTTTGGCTAGCATTAATCTGACTGAACCACATTGTTTGAGTTATAGCTTTGTTATTTAGGACACTTGACATCATTGTTGGACAGAAAAACATTTTTTTTTTTTGGCATGCCTCCCAAATTTTTCCAGTTAGCATTTAGATGGCATATAACAGTTGTTGGCCTTTTAGTTATTGATTCCTAATTAATGAAGTATATCTATAAACCTAATGCTCTCCTTTTCCCCTCTGTAATTCCCTAGATGGCAAAAAAAATAAACTCCAAACTGGATCATCTTGGTCAGGATTCAACACTGAATCCAAAAAAATTACAGGGATAAAATATTGTTACCATAACAAAAAATGAAAGAAATCTGAGGAGTTATATGAATGAGGTCAAAAAACTGTTTGGCTCTAGTCCAATTTCTTGATTCACTGTCGCTGCCAGCGCACCCCCTCAACCCCACTTAACCGTCTAATGAGCAATTAAAAGTGCAAATTTGCTGGAGTGCCTTAGTGTAGTCTATAATATTAGAAATGCCTGCACATTGGTATTTCTAAAATTTAACTTTTAATCTTGTGGATTATCTGTAAATAGCCCCTTTCTCTCTAAAGCATGAGTCTAAATCAACATAAGAAATATGAACTTAAATTATTATTCACATGTGAATGAACATAAACTTAGTTTATACTGCTACAGTAGGTTTACAGGCCCTACAATACTTCTCACGTCGCTTGGAGGAAAAATAAATTCAGATTTCTAATTAGAAGCTCACAGAAACTCTAATAAACTTAATAGGTAGAGAATATATAAATATACTTCAACATGATTTCTCAAAATGACTTTTAGGTTTAATACACGGGAATTTTGTTAAAATTAACAAAAAAATGTCCTTTCCTTTTTTTACTGTAAAAAAACAAGGCTCTGAAAACTTTTTCCCCATCTTTGTTGGAGTGAAAATGTCTTTATACCTGACATAGATAATGCGTATTGATCTGATGGTAAAAGATTGATTTGATAAGAGGTAGTTCATGATTTACTGCAACGGTTTCCTGAAAAGGTTACAAGCAGTTAATATCTTAGCTGCATCAAATCCACTCGTCTGATTAGATTAGTTTGTCCTGGAGAATAAAGCTTGACAGAGTGAACAAATTTCATTGTCTAATCTAAAAAAAGCTGCTATGGTTTATGCGAAAATTATTTTATAAACTTTTCCATGTTTGCTTTGATTATAAGAGAGAGGCTGATTTTTATTTATGTAGAAAAGTAGTTTAGAGGCAGTTTCACTAATTGTTCTGTGTTGAAAACACACAGAGTATTGATTTTATAGTCAGTTAGGCAATATTATTATTTTTCATACTCCGTTGCTTTATTACTAAGCTGCTACGCAGATAGTCCCTGTTTCCCACCCCGGTTTTTTGTTATTGCACCAATTCTAACCTTCCTTTCTTGTGTTTCTTGTAAGCTGTTTCATGCCATGGTCCGCCTAATTGTTAGTTTGCAAATAATCTTGATTTAGACTACAGAAAGATGCAGATGGAGCCATATAATGCAGGTAATAACAGCTTAGACATTTTTCATAGAAAACCAGATTTCTTTGCTTTTAGGTTTAACAGTTGTGGAAGTTGTTTAGAGAAAAGAAAACGTCACATAAACAGAAAGCTATGAGTAACTGTTTTGTTCTGCAGTGTTTTCTGACCTTGGCCTGCTCTTCATCCCCTTTGGCGGCAGCTGCGTTCGCTTCACTGCTTTCATTTCTGTCCGCGATTGTGCTCTTTGCCAGCATATGCTCTGCTTCGAAACCGCCAAGGCTCATCTCAGGAGAGCGCAGCAGAGGCTCAAAGGTGCTTTGGTTTGGGATGAGAAGGGGATTGCCAGCGTGACCCCCTGTGAGCCCCTGGGTCAGCTGATCTAGCTGAAGGCCCGCCTCCAGTGGCCCGACCGGATAATCTCTGAGAACAGGCAGCGTGTGGATGCCGTAGCAGAGGCGTCCGTAGAGCGGGGCAGAGCCTGGCCTCTGCTGGGGGCCCAGTGAAGGGTGCGGGTGACGGCTCCAGCTGTACGTCCTGGCTCTGGGCAGATTCTGCTGGGTGTACCATCTGTGCCAAGAGATCAAAGTCATGAAATAATGCACACAAACATCCACATGCCACCATGTATGAAGTTTGTTTTTATCTTTGGGAATGACTCACATGTTCCCGTTGCTGTGCATGTGCTGTATTCTGTGCATGCTCTGCAAAGCTGTGATGTCAAAGGCTGCAGTGTCTGCTTCCCCTCCCCCCTCATCATCGTAGGATATGATGTTTTCCCTGACATCATCCTCCTCAAAGGGTGAGTGGGAGTCTCGCTTCTGATGGCGCAATGACAGCGAGAGAGCACACACCACTAAAGGGCAAAGAACAGACATACCCACATACTCCACTGATGTTCCAGAAGCAGCCTGACACAACCTCTTGGCGTCTTTCAAAAAGTCACTAAAAACATACTAGGAGTTTTCCAGAAATGTCACACAAATAGCTGAACTTACCCAGCAGAGTGGTGACACAGGCCAGCATGGCGAGCAATGTGACCAAACTGAAGATGAGAGACGGCGAGGCCGACGGCGCGGGGAGGCAAACTACCTTCCTCTCCCATCTCGGGTCCCTCTGTCTGCCCCTGTTCTCAGTCTGCATGCCTCCTTGCAGACACGGACAAATGGTCACGGTGACTGTGCCAGTGTTGGTCAAACCCGAGGCCCCGTCACGCAGCACGACTGGCACGTAGAGGGTGAGTAGAGAGGAAGAGAAGCCAGGGAGGGGCTCCAAGGCTGACTGCAGCACCAGGCTGGCTGTCACACCTGATAATGGGACAACACATCAAGCATGTCACTGCATAACAAGCACGGACCACTTCTGTTGCAATCAAATGGTGTCAAGTTTCCGCATGAAATATAAAACAATGGCTGCAGGGGTAACCTCCGGATTCTCTGATGGTGAGGTTGAGAGATGAGCTGGATTCAGGAGGGATGCTGAAGTGAATCGGGGTTTCCTGTCCTCCCTGATCCTTGTCCACTGCTCTTAGAACCTGGACCACCTGTCGATCAAAGATCATGATCATCATTTTATTAGCAGCCTAGAGTTTTGGGGAAACCCCAAGAGTCATGTAACCAACTAACAATTTATAGTAAGCCGTTTATACACAGTGCCCTACCCAACCAAATGCATTAAGTTAATAGCAGCTATGTATTAGTTTTAACTCCCTGACTCAGTTCCCGATGGGGAGACCTTCTTCTGCAGCTACGGGAGCAAAGGTTTTGTTTCATCCAACTGCACATCTTCACACTCACGTAAAAAAAACTAAAGTTCAATCAGAGCTGAGAGTGTTATAGAGAATAAACAAGTTTTATTTCCTGTTTACTTCTGACACCAAGCTAATTCTGCAACTTTATGGTTGCACAGGTCAGCATTTATTAACACTGCATGGCAATGGCTCTAAAATGGGTACATTCTTATTTATTTCTCATTAAAAAAAGGTGTTTGATCAATTCCTCACTCTTATACGATATTGAACTGAGAGGATAATATGAGAAAATGGCCTAATGCTACAATTATAAGTAAATGTTCATACTTTGTAGAGTCCATGGCATTAGATGGGAGCCTTATAAAAAAAAACAAAAATAGCTTGGAAGCTTATCAACACACAGTGATCAGCTTGGCTTTGTTTACATAAGCACATTCAGACACTATGGTGCTCATCAAGGCCGATGTCATGGAGACGGTATGCATTGTCAGTAGAAGTACTTTGTTTATTTATCAACAGTAAGCATTGGTTTCAAGAACTACTTAACATACAATAATGGAAATGTTTTTTTTTTCAGCTTGAAGTCTTTATTTTGTAATAATAATCTTTGTTTTAAAAAGTTATTCAGAATTAGCATTAATGGAGTTGGCCTATATCATTTTCACAAAGTGAATCAAACTGGATACTCGAACAATTAATCATTATGTGAATTATATTTTCATCAAATATTTTTACCAAGTACTTCAGTTAGATATTAGATGACTAATTTTAGTTCTGCTTCGTAAATCAAAATATGTTTTTTATAAACTATATTTATAATTTTTTCCATTTGATAATTATGCACCTCTTAGGGACTGACCTTTAAAGATTCTGAATAAGAGGCACTAAATTACACATGCAATTTTTTTCTTAGTAGATGCAATAACTGGGCATCTGCAGATGATCTATAAGGATTGCTGCGCAAATATTATGATGTGCAATAGGGGTGTAAATAATAATCGTTTTGTATCGATGCATCGATCCAACAGCTGACGATTCGATGCATCGACACGTCCGCAAGAGAATTGACTCATGTTTTTTTTTCCCTCCGGTCTTTTTTTATCCATTTGCTCCTGGGCGTAATTCT